TCATTATTATTATTAATTATTAATAATATTATTAATAATCATTATTATTGAGTGCTTCAATAAAGGTGATAATTGTTTGTAGACAATGAAACGTTGTGATAGTATTTATCACTTATTGCTGTTTAATCATTATTATTTTTATTATTATTATTATTACTTTTTACTAGCTAGAACTGCTTTATTTCTATAGTTCTCTTTCTATTATTATATTTACTAGAATAACTAAGCCAAAAAATTTATATTGTTACAAAATGTATTTTTATAATTTGTTTAAAAAATTAGCATAAAGATAATACTGGATTCCTTAAGAATAAGTCGAATAAACTTGCTTCCTTATTTTCACTAAATATTTCATATGAAGTATCGTTAAAAATTCCATTGTGTTAATATTATAATCCGAATACAGATAAGCTTTAGCATTATTATCTGAACATATAGAGTCTCTAGCATTGGTATCCGAACATATAGAGGCTCTAGCATTGTTATCCGAACATATAGAGGCTTTAGCATTGTTATCCGAACATATAGAGGCTCTAGCATTATTATCCGAACATATCGAGGCTTTAGCATTGTTATCCGAACATATAGAGGCTCTAGCATTGTTATCCGAACATATAGAGGCTTTAGCATTGTTATCCGAACATATAGAGGCTCTAGCATTATTATCCGAACATATCGAGGCTTTAGCATTGTTATTCGAACATATCGAGGCTTTAGCATTGTTATCCGAACATATTGAGGCTTTAGCATTGTTATTCGAACATATAGAGGCTCTAGCATTGTTATCCGAACATATAGAGGCTCTAGCATTGTTATCCGAACATATAGAGGCTTTAGCATTATTATCCGAACATATCGAGGCTTTAGCATTGTTATTCGAACATATAGAGGCTCTAGCATTGTTATCCGAACATATAGAGGCTTTAGCATTATTATCCGAACATATCGAGGCTTTAGCATTGTTATCCGAACATATAGAGGCTCTAGCATTGTTATCCGAACATATAGAGGCTCTAGCATTGTTATCCGAACATATAGAGGCTCTAGCATTGTTATCCGAACATATTGAAGCTCTAGCATTGGTATCCGAACACGTGACACATTCTCCGATATCTATCATTGGGAGATAGACACCGGAGTAATCTGTTTTGCAATCTTTGTTGCACGTTGGGGGAGAGAAACGTGAATGGTTACTACGAACGACCATTACCAGCAGCTAACTACCGGTACCATTAACTGGTCGGTGTCAGCCTGCCTCCCAGTAGTTAAGTCATCGGTGAGCAGCTTCTCATCTCTGGCCTGCCACCCAGTAGTTAAGTCATCGGTGAGCAGCTTCTCATCTCTGGCCTGCCACCCAGTAGTTAAGTCATCGGTGAGCAGCTTCTCATCTCTGGCCTGCCACCCAGTATTTAAGTCATCGGTGAGCAGCTTCTCATCTCTGGCCTGCCACCCAGTAGTTAAGTCATCGGTGAGCAGCTTCTCATCTCTGGCCTGCCACCCAGTAGTTAAGTCATCGGTGAGCAGCTTCTCATCTCTGGCCTGCCACCCAGTAGTTAAGTCATCGGTGAGCAGCTTCTCATCTCAACTTGTTTTATATTTGATTTCTAAACTTGCTTTATAAACATCTTAACTTGGTTTGTTTTATTCATCTTCTGACGGGAAATGTGTTGTTGTAAGCTGGTATATTACTTGCTTTTTTTTCTCAAACAACGACGATATAGGTTACGTGTGTGTGTGTGTGTGTGTGTGTGTGTGTGTACTCACCTAGTTGTGCTTGCGGGGATTGAGCTTCGGGGCTCTGGTTACGCCTCTCAACTTCTGTGTGAGTGTGTGTGTATTTATATATATATATATATATATATATATATATATATATATATATATATATATATATATATATATATATATATAAAACATACATATGGGCATGTATATATATATATATATATATATATATATATATATATATATTATATATATATATATATATATAACATGCAAGCTGCAAGAAAGATGTTAATTAGCATTCATATTGTCGTGAAGAAGTTGGGTATCTTCTTCCACTGTGAGCGAAGAGGAGAGAAATCCTCATTATAATGTCATTCGTTATCATTTTTCCCCTCCAGACCCGTTTCGGCTTTAAAAGAAAGTTTATTTTTTTTCCACAAAGTTCTAATCAATCTTTCTCTCAATCACACTTGGACACAAACTTGCTACAGGCGACTAAAGAGGAAAGTTTTCAGTTTAAAAGTTCTGGACCTGGGTTCTTTTTAAACAGTAAGTTCTACACACAAATCCTTTTGGGTATAAATTCCGAACCTCACTATCAAACCTTAAGTTCGGGACGCTAAGTTGGAAACTCTTAAGTTGCAGGACTTCAGGTGCCAAGCATAGGTGCCAGAGCTTAAACTCGGGATGCCAGATTCCAGAATATAAGCTTGGAACGTCAGATTCCAGACGATAAGCTTGAGACGCCAGGTTCCGGACGATAAGCTTGAGACGCCAGGTTCCGGACGATAAGCTTGAGACGCCAGGTTCCGGACGATAAGCTTGAGACGCCAGGTTCCGGACGATAAGCTTGAGACACCAGGTTCCGGACGATAAGCTTGAGACACCAGGTTCCGGACGATAAGCTTGAGACACCAGGTTCCGGACGATAAGCTTGAGACACCAGGTTCCGGACGATAAGCTTGAGACACCAGGTTCCGGACGATAAGCTTGAGACACCAGGTACCGGACGATAAGCTTGAGGACGCCAGGTACCGGACGATAAGCTTGAGACACCAGTTACCGGACGATAAGCTTGAGACGCCAGGTTCCGGACGATAAGCTTGAGGACACCAGGTTCCGGACGATAAGCTTGAGACACCAGGTTCCGGACGATAAGCTTGAGACACCAGGTTCCAGACGATAAGCTTGAGACACCAGGTTCCGGACGATAAGCTTGAGACACCAGGTACCGGACGATAAGCTTGAGACGCCAGGTACCGGACGATAAGCTTGAGACACCAGTTACCGGACGATAAGCTTGAGACGCCAGGTTCCGGACGATAAGCTTGAGACGCCAGGTTCCGGACGATAAGCTTGAGACACCAGGTTCCGGACGATAAGCTTGAGACGCCAGGTTCCGGACGATAAGCTTGAGACAGCAGGTTGCAGTCTCCTCCACATCTTCGTATCAGCCGCGTCTGGGCCGAAGAAAAAATGGCCATGGAGTTTTAGGAGAAGCTTAATGCGAACTTAATCACCAACTCCTTATCCGCTTGACGACCTTCTCACACTGATCTAGCTCGCTCTCTCTCTCTCTCTCTCTCTCTCTCTCTCTCTCTCTCTCTCTCTCTCTCTCTCTCTCTCTCTCTCTCTCTCTCTCTCTCTCTCTCTCTCTCTCTCTCTCTCTCTCTCTCTCTCTCTCTCTTTCGAAGGTTCTTCACCTCCCCCGTCTCTGACCCGACACCCTTTACTCCCTGTACACACACACACACACACACACACACACACACACACACAGAGCGCTTAGGGAGGGCCTGATAGCTGAATGCACAGCGCTCTGGACTCGTAATCCTATGGTCCGGGTTCGATCCCCGGTGATGGCAGAAACAAAATGGGCAGTTTCTTTCATCCTGATGCCTCTGTTGCCTAGCAGTAAATAGCTACCTGGGAGTTAGACAGCTGTTACGAGCTGCTTCCTGGGGGTGTGTGGGGAAAAAAATAGTAGTTAGTAACAGTTGATTGATTCACAGTTGAGAGGCAGGCCGAAACACACACACACACACACACACACACACACACACACACACACACACACACACACACACACTGTGTATCTTGAAAATATGCAGTGTGAGAAAGTTCAGAACAGACAGTTAAGGGAATTATCGATCAAGTTAAAGAACGATTCAAAGAGGCCAGGGAGAGTACATACTTTCCTTGTATGTGCATACTAGTAAGAAAAACTAGTTTGAAGGCATATGACAACCCCATGGTTCAATAAACAATGCCAAGAAGATGAAAGAAATGACACGAGGAAGTGGAAGAGGCACAGCAATACAGAGAACAGCAACAGAAGTAGGAACTAAAACCAGAAATATATGAATATAACATCTATATTGCAGAACAAAGAAACAAAGTTACTACAAAGTAAATGCCAGGTTCCATGGAGGTGTTCACGACTGAGCCTGATCAGCATCCGGTGCTGGGAGATGAGATAACCTTAGAGGAGAGACTGACAAGTATTGAGATAACGACAGAGGAAGTAATGAGACATATAGCATCACTAGATGAAACTAAAGCTATTGGACCAGGCAATGTATCACCGTGAGTGTTAAATGAAGCGGCACAGACCCTTAGGGGTACCTTCAGCTTTGATCTTTAATGATTCAGCTGCGAAGGGCGATTTGCTCAGCTGCTGGAAGCTGGCAGATGTTGCATCAGTGTACTAGAGAGAGAGAATAGGGAGGAGGCACTTATAAATGCATAACCCTGACAAGCATTCCCCTGCAAAGTATCCGAAAGGGAGACTTAAAAGAATGTGTTAAAAGATTGGAATTGGTAAAGAACTATTCCAAACTTTTAAAAAATTTTCCTTGAAACTTTTGTCACCAAAATTTTCGCCTTAAATTTTCCTGACGAGAAGCTGCAAGGCGCGGGAGTCAGTCCCCGATGACTTTTGTCATCAATATCTATATTTTATGCACATTATATATTTTTTCAGCCCGGGTGTTGAGTGCTGGGTGTATGGGTGGTGCAGCTGGTGGCTGAGTCAGTGTTTGCCATGGGAAAATAATTCACGGATCTCTAAAGAGCTTCTTTGCCTGTAAAAGATTATTATAAGATCTAATCATAATACTTACCCTTTAAACACTCCCCCCTCACTCAAAAAAAAAAAAAGAATTCCTTGGACTTTAGAGATTGTGTTGATAAGCTGACTATATGTGAAGTGTTCTTATTAGCGATGTTGTAAGAGGATGCGAGAGGAAAAGTGAAGGGTGGAAGAGAGAGACCTGGGTACACCGCCGGCTGGTACCCCCTTCTAGTATTCACCTAGTTGTGCTTTAATCAATCAACTGTTACTAACTACTAACCAACTAATTTTTTTTACACACACACAAAATGGTAATGTGTGGAAAAATGCTAACATAGTTCCTATCTACAAAAGTGGCAGCAGGGAAGACCCCCTCAATTATAGACCTGTATCATTGACAAGTGTAGTAGTCAAAATATTGGAAAATTAATACAAACTAAATGGGTAGAACATCTGGAGAGAAATGATATAATATCAGACAGACAGTGTGGTTTCCGATCTGGAAGATCCTGTGTAACGAACTTACTCAGTTTCTATGACCGAGCCACAGAGATGTTACAGGAAATAGATGGTTGGGTTGACTGCATCTATCTGGACCTAAAAAAGACTTTTGACAGAGTTCCACACAAGAGGTTGTTCTTTAAACGGGAAAATATTGGAGGGGTGACAGGTAAGCTTCTAACATGGATGAAAAGTTTTCTGACAGAGAAAGCGGGCTCTGATCAGAGGCAATGTATCGGACTGGAGAAATGTCACAAGTGGAGTACCACAGGGTTCAGTTCTTGCACCGGTGATGTTCATTGTCTACATAAATGATCTACCAGATAGAATACAGAATTATATGAACATGTTTGCTGATGATGATAAGATAATAGGAAGGATAAGAAACTTTGATGATTGTCATGCCCTTCAAGAAGACCCTGGACGAAATTTGTATATGGAGCACCACTTGGCAAATCGAATTTAATGTGAATAAATGCCATGTTATGGAATGTGGAATAGGAGAACATAGATCCCACACAACCTATAAATTATGTGAAAAATCTTTAAAAAATTCTGAGAAAGAAAGAGATCTTTGGGTGGTTCTAGATAGAAAACTATCACCTGAGGACCACATAAAGAACGTTGTGCGAGGAGCCTATGCCACGCTTTCTAACTTCAGAATTGCTTAAATTTAAATACATGGATGGCGAAATACTTAAGAAATTGTTCACGACTTTTGTTAGGTCAAAGCTAGAATATGCAGCGGTTGTGTGGTGCCCATATCTTAAGAAGCACATCAACAAATTGGAAAAGGTGCAGACATGCTACTAAGTGGC